ACACCGAGACGTGTTTCCAAGATCCGAGTACATCTCCTGAACAGCCTTCCATATTTCGTGACCATTCTTGTAAAACAGATACGTGCGTCCTATTTGCGGCTCCATGGAATTGATTAACCACGCCATGACAATGGAATTTTCAGCTTCCCATGTCTTGTAACTCGCATCACTGCTYGCTGGAGGAGGGATTTCACCAGTAAGGTAACCCACTTTTCCTTTTCCTTGAATCACTAACAAAACGGATTGAAACCATTCACGAAAATTGGACCCATTTAATTTATGTTGGGTAATCTGCAGAGAATGGCTTATGTCAGAGGTGGTGAAGGAGGTTCCAAGGGATCTCGATGCATTCATGGTTGAATCTACTGCTGCCGAGTCCACTGTTGATGAAGAATGACTCGTTCCAGACATCATTGCAGGCTCTGATACCATGAAAACAGAAACAAATGTTTGAAGATTTCTGTTCTAATCTCATTGAGAAGATCTGTACAAATATATACAACTTCTAAGAATCAATCTAGGAGCTATTCTAGGAAACTAACCCACTAATTTAGCCTTAAGAAAAAAAGGAAACTAATCACAGCTAAAAAAAAAGGAAAATAATCACAGCCTAAATAAGAAAATAAATAACTAAAAAACAGGAAAGATTCTGACTCGGATTCCACAAGGAATAATCCTCGTCATCCCTTTCCAACACAATCAACCTTCTATTCTTCCATGCAGTTGGCTCATCTAGGGCTGCATGGATCTAATCCAAGATCCTCTGAACTTTGCTTTGATACCAATTAGAAAATAAAAGAAATAAAAAAGATTTAAGAAAGAGAAGAGAAAAGGAGCTTCTTGAGAGTAGAAGAGAAGAAGATGAAGATGGGAGAAAAGGGAAGAGAAGGCCAAAAACAAATCAGGCGACCCCTCCCACTATCTTTTATATTAAAAGAATAAAGGGTCTCCAATATGCCCTCAATAGGGTGGCTACTTAGACAGCTAAGAAATACAACTTAAAAAACATAAAAAACATAGAAAACATAAATCCCATAGGCTGAAGGCCCAATAACTCCCAATAAATAAAAGAAACTAAAAATACACAGCACTAACTTTCTCAACATCACCACCAGCTCCAGCAAATGCAACCACACCAGCTGAATCTCAAAGCTACACAACCAGCCGTACCATCTCCTTAATTTACCTACGGCACTCCTAGATGAACCTTTCAATATCTTCATATGTCCAATCACTTGGTTAAAGAGTACTTCATCCTTCTTTTTCTTACCCTTCCCTCTTAAGACCCCAATGCCCAGATTCCTCCTAACTGTTATTCCTGATCTCACCATTGACACTAAATGAGTCTTTACTCTTCTTAGACAACACCTTCATCTGATCTCCTTGCTTTCATATTCCTCAATGAAGATGTTGTCTGAAGATGCTAACTTCATTGGGGAAGTTAGCTGAAAGGGAGGAAGTCGGCTAACCTTCCCCAGAGATCACATATACAAGTATATCTGAATGTCCAACCTAACCTATCACTATTACAACCAGAAGTATTCAATCTATGTCCTAGATTAGCAATGCAATACATAGCAAAATTTGCTTCCCTGAAAACATGAGAATATCTTATTTTCATCCTATACTTAGAACACAGGAAATAGCACTCGTCAACAATCATCTTGATGCTCCATGGTGAGTCTTCAACTTCATGTAATCTATTGATAACCAGCTTCAGGTCTCCTATGATTAGATTTTGATTTCTGAACTTTGTAGTGAGTTTGTGGGCTTCAAGAGCTGCTCACACTTACACCATATTTATCGAGCACAACCATATGTCCTTGTAAAATTAAGAACTTTGCCATCGTTCGGCTCAATTCAATTAATCCTTGGACCAACTATGTGTTGTCAGCTACATGAAGCCTGTTATGCCTTTCCACTCTGTTCAGTGTCATATCCATTATTAAGCTGTGGGTCCTTACATTAGTTCTCATTACTTCATCCTATTTCATTTTTGGTCTCCACTTAGCTCTTCTAGAACTACTTGAAACTTCTCTGCATATGACCAAACCATCTTAATCTATTTTCCCTCTTTTCATCACCTATTGAAGTTACTCCTAAGTTTCTGAACAAGTTTATTTCTAATCCTACCTTTCTAGTTTTCCCACTCATCCATAAAAAATTCGCACTTTCAACTCTTTTTTTTGGATATGTTGTTTCTTGAGTGCCTAACACTCAGCAAGTCAGCATATAATATATCTGTCTTGTGACCATTTTATAAAATTTTACTTTTAGCCTATGTGGGGTTCTCCCATCACATAGTATCCAGATGAACCCCTCCATTTTGCCCACCCTGCTCTAATTCATTCGTCATAATTAATTATCAAAATAGGAATCATCACTTCTACTGGTCAATCTTTGGGGTGATAGATCCTGTGGGAGATATTTTCAATGATTGTGTATCATGTCATTAATAAATAATAATTTAGTGATGCATGCAATTCTTTCCAGCCCTGGTATGCTTCGATTTCCATAAGTAATTTACCTATGGTTCAAATAGTTCCTAACACCTTGTTGCACTTGTTTTCCATTTACAAATAAATACAGGGTTTAGATGCACTTGGTTTGGCAACCTTAAACTCGGTTACTTCTGTCGCTACATCAACACTACCTTTTTCAGCTTCCTTTCCACCATCTGCAATGGATGATCAAGATGTTATAAACTTGCGAACATTGCGTCGACTTACACAATTGTTGTCAGGAATTGAAAATATTGAAAGCACAAGTATGGTAAGTTTAACTGCTTGTTTCATTGATATATGAAACCACACCACATTTTGAACAAATAATGTTCTAAGTTTCTTATGGTAGTTCCCAAAGTTTCATGTTGAAGGCTTACACCTTGACTATAACCCCAGGACTGTTTCCTGATTTCTCTGTTCAAGAATAGTTGTCTTGATGAGATATGTACAGAAGAAAAAAAGATCAACAACAAAAAATAATTTATTAAAATGCTGTGGAAAATCAAAAGTACAAATATGAACTGAACGGCAATAGAGATGGCCAATATCATGCTTCTGATGTGATGATACATATGCCAGGAGCATTCTAATTAATCTGTTATCCAACTGATTACCACTTTGAAGTACCAATTCCCTCAAATCCTAGAGAGCAACCCAACTTTAGGCTATAGTAGGGCTTGGAGCTCTGTTATTATGATGCTTTCTTTTCCAATTCTTCTGGTGCAATTTAACATGTCTTCATCTTTATGTTATAGGGAATGAAAGATGACAGCCTATATAAGAATCAAAAGACATACTCAGAAGAGATGTCACTTGTTCTTTATCAATTCCCATCTCTCCAGGAGTTTCTCCCCTTTCTTTCAGTTATTTCTGAGGTACGAAGTAATTGTATGCACATCTGAGCGTGTTCTTGTGTTTGTATTTATTTTATGTTGATGACTTGTAAAGATAAAAATTTATTAAAACGAAAGGAGGAAGATACAAATAAAGAGAGGCCAACAGGGAATAACCAAAACAAAAAGAAGATAGAAATTTAGGAGCAACTAGAGTACAGGCTAAAAAAGGATTAAGCGGCTCAGAATTGCATGTCAAGTCTAAAGACCATACTCTTCTTGAGATCATCTGAGTTTGTCAACCTAGGCGTCCATTAGAACAAAATTATCATCCTGTCTGGGGATGATAATCTTTTTTACGTTGGCTTATACCCATGATTGTCCTTTTTGACCTTAGCTTTTCTTTTAGTCTCCAACTTGCTCTAATCACTCTGTAGTTATTAGTTGTTGATTCACATGACCAGACAATGTCAGTTTACTTTTCATCAACTTATCAGTTATTGACAGATACTCCTAGATTCTCATGGTTTGCACCCATCTTTAACAACTTTCCTATTCATTCTGTTCATTAGAAGAGTTAGGAATGTGTATATTGTGACACATCTTGGGTAAGAAACCTAAAATATTATGTTGGATCTGGAAAGACACTTGCAATCACATGGAATCATGTTTGTGTTGCTTAGGAAGATGTGTGATTCTTCATGAATTTGATCTGATCCATATTCACAGTACTACATAAAGACGTAAACCGATTGACATGGTATTTCTTCACATAGCCTGTTTGAAATTTGATGCTTGTCTTTCTATACATGGCATATGTATTGCAATGATATTCCAGTAATCTATGAGGATCATCAAGCGGATTGATATGTTTCAGACTCAGTCCCTAAGATAATTTCAATTAGGCTTCTACCTCCAAGTATTTTGGTGGTTTCCAACTTCACCGAAGTAGAACTTGATCTGTCCAACCATTTAAAATAGTTATTATTCTATCAAACCATATCGCATGACCTCTTCTGTAATTGGCATCTTAAGTCAGAGCTACTTTTAGATCAAATTGGGGCCAAAACAGAGCTACAGCAAGGACACAGACTTATTAGACCTCTATACCTGAAAGATCTATACGTAGATTGAGTTCTGTCAATTTATTCAATTGGTTACCTCTGTTAATCCTCATACTTTAGGGGTGCATATGAGCATTCTAGGCTGGGTTTAAGGTCAACCTAGGCTCAACCCTGACTTGGGCCCAAGGCTCAAGCCTGGACTGAGCCTGAGGTCAAGCTAGATCTGCCCAATCCAGCCCCAGTTCGAACTAAAATTTGACACTCGGGTTAGTCAGGCGCAGGCATGCCTTGCTGGGCCCATATATCAAAAAATGGCAATAAACGTATTTAATATCAGTAATCTCAACGGTTAGATAGAAATATGCATGTATTATGTTTGTGTGTTTTGTATGCATGTATGTATGGTAGGACTAGGATCAGGCCAGGCTCAAGCCACCCAAGGGCTAGGCCCAGGGCAGGCCCAGCCCAAAAAAGAAAAGAACCCAGGGTTTTGGGACTAAGCCCAGCCCAAGGACTAAAAATTCAAGCCCATCCCATTAACATTTCAGGTTGGGTCAGCCCAGACTCGAGTTGGGCCCACTCAAGTTGTACCCCTACTTATACTCTCATAATCAGCGCCTACTTCTCCCTTTCTATTTCCCCTTGTCAAAATTTTTGGGTTTTGTTTGTCTAAACGGTATCTAGCTAACTTCATATTCTAAGTTAATTTGATATTCAATATTTCTTCTTTCTGAAGCTGTCCTGAATTTCTCCCTTATTCTATATAAAATAACATAAACAAATCATATAAGGAACCCATTACAAATGGAAGTTGCATTTACTTCATTTATTTGAATCCGTCTTTAATGCTTCTTTGTGCATATAAATATGTTTATTCTTTGTTCTTTGCTAAAACTATACACCTTATATTTTGGTACATGACTACACAGCTAATCAATCTGTATTGCAGCTTGAACCAGAGTCTCAACAACAATTGCTTCGTTTGCCAGCTGAGCTAGCTGGAAGATTGGTCTCTCGTGCAGCTGCAAGAACTATTCAGAGAATTTTCATTTAAACATTATCTAGCTCACCAATTTTTTAATTCTATGGGATGTATGGTGAGCTGTGGTGTCATGATCTGCATCTTTGCCCATGCTAATGGTCCCAGTGCATGCAGCCCTCAGAATTGACGAAACATTGAATCAAGGACTTTTTGCAAAACATATATTTGCAGGACTAAAAAAATGTATAAATTAGTTAAGAACACGAAATGAATCTTAATATTTTCCACCCTAATACCTGAACATGCAACTTCAATTATTTTACTTTTATTTAATTAATTAATTAATTAATTTATTTATTTGAAGAAAAACGAGGCAATTGAATTACTAAATCTCTCTCTCTCTCATTCATACATAAACACATCAGGTTGTGGAAATATGAGACCCTAAAAGTCCAGAGCTTCAACCTTACAAATTCAATATGCTTCTCCACATGAGAATTTTAACAAAGTGAAATTGAATAATGGACTTGTAGAGCAGCGGCAAAATTGAACCAAATTGCAGTGCTAACAGAGCAACGGGAAAATATGGTCTTGTTGGTGCAACACTTCGATGACTGGAAAATGATTATTGACATTGATAACCAGTAATGATTATGCACCCCCTCAACAATTTTTAAAAAGCAAATATCAAGCATGCTAGAAAGGAAACGTGCTGTAGCAAAACAATCCTCATCCAGTGGATGCCCAACTACCATACATTACGAAGATCTTGATTTGCTCTATTTATATATATTGTTTCAACTTTACAAAGTGAGTCTGCAAGGCAAGTTGTTTAAGGGATTAAAAATGAAAGAATGTAATGGAAACTTCAGGAAGTACATTTGAATCATCTGATCTTTTGATACAAAATTTAATCCATTACTTGAAAAGGAAGATAAAATAATCATCATCCACTTTGTCTGTACATAATAGAACAATGACACTGCTTTATAAATAGACAAAGTACAGCTAGAAAGAACCAAAGAGCATAGAGATCTAGGGACTGGTTGCAGTGGCCACTCCATCATTGCTAAGGAAGTTCTCAATTTGTATGAGTGCCTGTCAGGACAGAACTTAAATAAGATAAACTACCCCAAGCAAAACATAAATAGAATCAATGAATATAAATTCATACCAATGAAAAAAATATAAAATCCATATTTCCCCCCTCATATTTTATCATACTACACATGCAGGATTTTGGGGAACCAGTTAAAAGGCTAATTGCAGAACCTATCCTCGCCCAAATATCAACTTTCAAATAACCTAAACCATCCCATAAGGATGGTCCAGAAAAATAAAATGACACTTAATTGGATAGCAGTATCATAAACCACACTACTTTGTGGGTCATCGATGGATGTTTAAATCCACCTACATATGTAGCACATAGACAAGAAATAACAATCCCCTATGAGAAATAGTCGCATAAAAACTTATGGTTTGGATCTCATCAGTTTTTGGGACTGGTATGAAGCGGTTTTGGGAAATAGAATCTCTTCATTTTACATGTTTTATCCTAGTTCCGAATAGGAATACATTTATGAGTTCAAAGTTGTAAGAAATTTCATAAAATCCTATTATAACTAAAACCTGTATTATTCAAAAAATTAAACCTAATTACAGATCTCAACCAATCTCTCTTTTAACTTTATATATATATATATATATATATATATATAGAGAGAGAGAGAGAGAGAGAGGGAGAGAGATCAGGGACCTCGATTGCAATAGCAGTTGGAGTGATCTCACATACATCACAATGCCGCAGTTTGGCAGATATATCTGCACAGAGAACAACATTTTCACCATTTAAAAGAAAAAACAAGGTTTTCCAAACAACTCAGCATGTTGAAGGTGCTTAGATTAAAGTAGCAATATACAAGTGAATATATGGTAAAGCATGACACTTCTATTATGCTTCCAGACAGCTATCATCCTGCATACCTCATCCATCCAGTGTAGGAATGCCCAAATAGTGTATCATGCCATTCGTGGCATTCACCAAGGGGTTTCATAGTTCAAGGAACATAAACAATAGATCCTAATAATCTGACATATTGGTGTACATTTTTGGGAAAGAAATATGGGTATCCACAAAAGAGAGCTTTCCAAGTTGAAAGAGTTGACATTGCTTCCTAATGAAATAGTAGAAAAATGAAAACTGGAACGGCTCTCACATTTTCTGCTGGAGAACCATAAAGAAAAGATTTAGCAGCATGGCAGTATGGTGCATTTGTATAGTACATATACATCTAAACATTATCAATTTGATGCATAAAAAATACTACCAAAAGCTATACTCATTAGATTCTCATAATAATTTATTCCAGTCTTTTGAATGCCCGGAAAACATAGAACTAGAGATCTTGACATGTAAGATGTGTTCAAGAAACATACTAAGAAGAGAAACCCTAGTATCAGCATTGGCATATGCTTTGCCCCTTTCTTCAGAAAGCAAAGACAACCGCATAAGAGCCTGTAAGGGAAGTCAAAGGACACATTAGTTAAAAGCAACAGGCAGATTCTGATTTCTTCTCATTCAACACCCTAAAGATAGATCATAGAATAAGAATAATGAAATAAGTTATCATGTTGAACAGACATTTATAACAATAGGTTCAAAGCTACCTTTGTGTAAGCATCGCCTGATTCATCATGCAATAGTGGGCGAGAATCTGTCCCTACAGCAGCAATTCGCCTTGCCAGAGCTTCCAAAGGCACATCTAACCAGACAGTAATACCATGTCTCATGTACTTCCTGAAAAATTGAGAAATAAACATGAAATGTATTTACATGTGAAAGATATGATGTAAGTCAAAAAGTTAGGAATATATGAGGTAAACCATTACATGTTCATATTCCCATACCAGTTAATTGGCCGAACCACTGCACCACCACCAGTAGCAACAACAAGCTGGTGCATCAAAGATAATTTCCGCAGCACCTCACTCTAAATGATAAAGGAAAGATATGAACCTTTTGCTTCCAATAAATTAAGAAAACTCTCTTTTTTATAGATAACTAATGGATACGATAATATTAGCAAAAAGATCTACATGAGTGAAGGGTTCCATCCTCAAATAAAAATTAGGAAAGTCTAGAGCTATGGCCATACAAAAGGACCTTCCCTGGACCCCTCCTAGATAGATCATCAGTTGCTGAGTTTTGTTTCCTAGGAATCAACCTTAAGGAGATGAAGAAGAGTTCAGATTGTCTCTAATCTCATATAGGTAATGTACCAATCTCCATGGACCTAGCCAGTTCTTTGGTCTCATTTGATTCAATTACTGAATCACCAAGAATTTAGAAGTGAATCAGCTGCCTTGTCTTGGCAATTCCAGAGCCACTTAGCAGGGCTATAACTAACTGAGTAGTGTGTCCATTAACCAACAAGAAAACTATCCTAAAATTACCAATTCATAAACATGCAACAGTGGTTCTGGTTAAATACAGTAATGAAATAACCAAGAAGTGTATGTCATAATGGTATTCAGAAGTTGGTTCTTAGTCATTAGTTCATTCATCAACAATTCTACTGCTACAAATACTGGAAGACTTTCCCAGAAATATCCTACAGTGATTTGCTTCAACCTTTATATGCTTCACAGTATTATCTGAATGGTGCATTGTCTATAGAGACAATGCTTTCTGAAAAGCTAAACAGACACTAAAAGAGCATCTACTTTTTAGAAACCCATGGTAACAGCTTCCTGAAATTTTTGAATGCCTTCTAGCACCCAAATGCTGTGTTTGTGCAGGTGTAGGGTTGTATATATGAGTTTTTGTGTGTCAAGTCTTGATACACTTGTATATATTATTTATTTCTATCTCCAATGCCAACTATTTTCCATTTTCACCAAAGTTTCCACCACTACATAGCCTTGCTTCAGCCTTCAAGGGTTTTCATCTCTTTTCTGCATCAGGTTACCAAGCTTTCAATGTAGAAATCTTCTGGGCTTTCTAGCTTTTAACTCAATTACAATATCCTTCTCCCTTCTTTTCCATATTTAAATTTTTTTGTCAAAAATCAAAGGGAAATATTTAGGTTTTTGGATGATTTTTTTTTTATGACTGACATGTTTCAACATGCATATACTTTAATTTCATAACAAGATTTCATCTGCCAATGGAATATATAGTAATAAACATTGCCTTGTAACAGAAATGGTTGTAATGTATGGTAACTTGACAGGGAAATTTTTCAATGCAAACTACTGCACTAAATTACATATATGATGTGGACAGAAAAAAACAAATTAATGCAACACTTCAAGTGTACAGTAACAAGTACAAGAAATACCAAGCTGAAAACAAGAAAACAAGTTGGATTTTTAGGGATTTTACACCTGAGCCTGTAGTAAAACTTTTCTTTGAACAGTTCCGCTACAGTAACGATGGCATCAAGCTGGCCTCCTGCATGCAGACATGTAGCAATAGAGGGATTGGAAGGTGCCAAAATGGGTTGACTCTTCAAAACCCAAGCTCCCAATACTTGAAAACCCTAGTTAGGACTGAGCTACAGCTCAAACAAGAGAGAATGAACCAAAAAGACCTCTACAGAAACAACCATCTTCTCTTTTGTAAGACTCATGGCTTGCTGGAGAAGCCAATTAAAATATTTACAAATGAACCCCCAGAATGTTTTCCTTTCACAAACAACTACTTAAGAACAAAGCTAACTTCAAACAAACCCCCAAAAGATAACTTTTGTTACAAAAAGACCCAAGAGACCAAAACCCAACAGATGTGCACCCAACTGCCCCGACCAGAATCAGAATTATAAAATGACGAAAATACCCCTGGACCCAAACTGTCAACAAAGCTACCCATAAACAACAATTTGGGATCCTACAAAAAAAACATGCAAAACAGAGTAAATTCACATTTATTCTCTTTTTATTCTTTTTCTTTCTTTCTTTTTTTCTTTTTTTGGCCTCATCAATATATCATTTTTTAAGGGAGTGAAGATCAACATGTGAGGGAAATATAGCAAGAGAAGATTTATCATGTAATGGGCTATAAAATGTAGGATCAAGACCTTTGTTCCATGAGTTGTAATCCTATCACTTGGTGCCTCAACTAATTATATCATAACATGTCCAAATAATTTAATTCAGCAAGTGTTGGATGACTATCAAAAATCTAATACCGTTGGAAAGCTTACTAAATTATCTATTCAACAAGCTCACAATCATGTAATTCAAATATTATAAGCAAGTTATAATCAAAGAGTACAGTCCTGTGCTTGAATCTATTCGAAGGTACTTTAGCCTTTCATAGTGTTTTTAGTTATGTTATATTAGATGAATAGTTCAAATTAGTCTTTGAGCTTTGTTAAAGCATTGTGAACAGGCCCATTTATAACCGAATGAAATTGCCTTTGCTTAGCTCCCTGGAAGATGTTTCCCTTTGGTTTCTCTCTAAGAAATCCAGGCTTCGATATTGATTAAAATAAAATCTACGTCATCTTCCAGCTTCATTGTAGTGATATTTTTCTTACCTTGTCAACTTTAATGCAAAATCAGTAACAATGTCAAGTTAAGGCAAAAAGAAAGGATAGATAAAAAGATATGATGCTAAGGGATAAGAAAAGTAATGAGCAATGCTCTTTATGAACTCTGTGTAACAGATGGAATTAGTGAAGGGAGAGGTAGAAAGATGTCCCATTCGGAAGGAAAAGGTAACTACATGTTGTAACTTCAAGAAAAAGTTATGCAACATCTGAATGAAACAATTCAAAATGATTTCTAAAATACCTCATTATCTCTAAAGAAACTCTCACTATAATTTTTGAAGATTTCAGCCACAGAAGTTTCCCCAGTAGCCTGTTCCACCAATTTGTCACTGTAGCAACCAGAACAGTAACCACAAAAACTACAGTCATTATTGAATATATATTACAATCCATATCAATTTAGTATAGCATAATATTTTCTTGCCAAGTGGCATACTAGGGTAACTGACAGAACTGCATTGAATGGGAAACATCATAATTGACCAGAACAGGGGATTTTCTTATTGGTTGGGGATAGTTCTACCCTGTTCGGAACCAGACTAGACCCATTGACAGCCCTAGTGACACTTTTCAACAAAGAAGGCCTAGCTGGTACCTTTCTCTCCATGTTTGTGTTTTGTGTTTTGTGTTTTGTAAGTGGAGAATCCTCTCTTATCACTTACTAATTTCCTGTAGATTTCTGTCTAGTGTTTGGGATTGTTTTCTTTCCCTCTTTGGTTGCAGGTGGGCTGCCCTAATCATTTATCAATCTTCCAAGAAGAAGAGGAAAGATGATGTAGAGGTGCACACAATTTGCTATTCTTTGAACTATATGGGAAGAGAGGAAAGAGAGAATCTCCAAGGGAAAGGAAATAACTAAGTGGTCCATTGGGTGAAGACATTGGGTCTATTCAACCCTTTATCTTCTGAAGATATTCTCAGAGGGTGACAGATAATTGCAAACTTGCCTATTCTGAGGGTTGCAGTTCACCCTCAATGTTCAACCCTTTATCTTCTGAAGATATTCTTAGAGGGTGACAGATAATTGCAAACTTGTCTATTCTGAGGGTTGCAGCTCACCCTCAATGGGAATCTCCAGCTCAACTTGTCAAATTTAATTTTGATGACTGTAGTAGGGGAATCTAGGTCAATTAAGCTTTGGAGGTTTATTTAGAATTGTTTGGAAAACATTTTGACTATTTACTCGGGACCAGCATGTTATGGTAATCAGGGGCGGAGCCAGGGAAGCCATGCMCCCCCCCCCCCCATGGTCCAGAAATCCCCACTTGTGATACACTCTCCCATGTAAATCCCCCCCCCCAATCCACTTTAAGTTTTGGCCCCCTCATAAAAATTCCCTGGCTCCGCCCCTGATGGCAATGCAATTCAAGAATAAGTTCTAGCATTTCTGCAAGGCTTCAGACTCTAGCAAAGAGCAAAAACCTCATTACTATAATCATTAAGGGGGATTCCAAGGTAGTGGTGGGATGGGTATAGAATGAGGAAAGTTGTCCTTGGGTGTACAATAAGAATGTACTGAAGGAGATAAAAGAGTTAAAAAGAGACAAGATAGCTAGTGTTCACTGGGTATACAGGTCTGCTAATAGTCTGGCTGATGGGTTAGCAAAACAGGGGGTGGAGAGAAGGAATCATATTTAATTTCTGATTAATAGAATTGTTATTGTTGGTTATTTAAAAAGCTAAAAAAGCAATTATTGAAAATATAGTTGTGAAGGTAGTGTGCATTGGGTGAAGACCATGGACATATTTGCACAAGGGGATGGAGTTGGGTGGCTAATTCTACCATGGCAAGGGCAAGAGCCAAAATTCAGTGGCAACCACCAGTACCAATCTCTTGAAGTTGAACTGTGATGTATATAATCTGGGACCTTCAAGTATAGGGAGAGTATATAGGAAAGAAGAAAGTAAAATGCTTGCAATATTCTCCGGGTCAATAAATCATGGGGATTCCATTAGAGATAAGTTGCTAGTAGTATTGCAATAATTAAGACTGGGGAAGCTCTTAGGCTTCAGAAATATAATAGTGGAACAGAACTCAAAATTGGTGGTGGATTGGTTGAAGTACAACAGCCAAGGCTTATGGCAATAGTAGCTTGTTATGAGGGACATAAAACATTTTGGAACTGGAGGCTAACTTTCTATGGACACCTAGTAACCTAGATCAGCTAATAGCTTGGCTTATGCAGTAGCTAAGCAAGGGGTACACAGGAATCGATTATTTTAGGCAAATATAATCTAAACAACATGAATGGGTGAAAAGCCTTGGCATTGCTCAAGCTTATGATGCTTAGCATGTTGTAAATACCTAATTTTTTAATCATACATTAATAAATTCAAAGTTATCAACAAAAAAAAAAACTCCATTTCTTCTCTATGCTGGATCCTTGTTATGTCCATGTCACAGAAAGCATAAAAATGGTCTAGACAAATCTTTAAAGAAATGATGAAATCAATTTATTCATTTCAGCATTTGCATAAGTAATTTCAAGGTTGATGCATCCCAACCTGTGTTCACCCAAAAGTTTACTGGCATTCCTTCGGGACAATAATCCTTCAGATTAGTGGGTGCCTCAGACTTTTTATCACCATTCAAAAGATTCAATGGCAAAAGCAACAAATGGTACAGGGAAAGAAAGAGATCACCGCAAGGCAATCTGAAGACAAACCTGTCAAAGAATGAATAGCCTAATGCTTCTGATAACATCTTCCCAACTGTTGTTTTCCCAGAGCCCATCATTCCTGCATTTAACACCGAAGAGTAAAACCACTAGGATACAATTATAGTATTAGCGAATTAGACAGAATTCAAACAAGTTTTACTGACCAACAAGATATATGCAACGTCCATCTAAGCATGGGATAACCTCTTCTGCCTTCTTCTGCAATTAGAATAACACTCAATAAGAGCTGTTAATGATATTACCTTGTATGAGCAGAAAAAAAAAAAAAAAAACTAACAGGGACTCAAATTCTAAGATTTTGACATTTGGAACTAATGGCATGGTATAAAATGCCAGAAGCATTAACAAGATAGGGTTCCTTATCCTTCCCTGAGTCATGGAATCAAACAAGAGATTTTAAAACATCATCATTACCTTTAAAACCAAAGCTTCGTCAAGAGACGCACAACGATTTTCCGATTCAAATGCCGAAGCTAAAAAAAAAAAAAAAAAAAATCGAACGAATGAATGATCAAAATGACTTTCTAACAAAGGTCTGGAGAACAAAGGCCAAGTTTTGGATTCAAAAGATAATATATTGAAAGCGGCATAAGCATTCTACTAATATATTGTCAAATAAAAAAGAATATTGAAATATAGAATTACTTACCTGGAGAATTATTATAAGAACACGAAATCTCTAATGAAACCGGTCTAGGATGAATAGAAGCATTGCTCCACTGCAAATCCCTCCAATTAAACCGAAGAGTCCGTCCCTCCCTGCAATTCCTAGAAAACCGCAGAAAGCCATTGGGTCTCCTTCCAATCTTCTCGGGAAAAATCCATGTACAGCAATGCAAGCTAGATGCAGTAGCAGCCTCCATGCTCCTACTATAACAGTAAACTTCTACAAAACCACTTTCTTTTACCAGATTTCAATTAAACGTAGTTCCCAAGTAGAGGTTCAAAGAAACCGTATGATCATAGTATTGCCGCTGCACAAGAAACAATTTTTCTTGTCGTCAGAGAAATCGAAATTCATATATCCTCCTGCTATAAATTTAGAGAAGAGCAAAGAAAAACCTAAATCTAGACCAATGGTGCCAATTTAAACTAATAAATGAATATGTACAAGGATAAGCAAAATAAAAAAAAAAAAAAAAGAAAAACAGAGAAAGATTGATTTTGCTTAGAGTTTAGAGGATGCACTTTAAAATATGATAGAGTAAATGAACCTTGACTTTCAAAGAAACATAGATATTAAATGGCGAAATTCAGATTAGAGCTAACTAACCACGCATTTGATGAATATCCAAAAACCCTATAGAGGAGTTCCGTTTTGGAATCTGTTCTGACTTCAGAGGAGTTGCACAGAACACCAGAAGGCTGCGAAATGGAGCTTCCGCAGTATAAGAGGAAGCAGGTGGGAAGGATAGCAGGAACTGGTTACAGGAGGAGGGACGTTTCTTACTTTCTCATATGGTTATTTATAAGCTCGAATCGCGAACAAGGATTTCGACTTTGGCGGTTCGACCTGGACCTCTTCCCGGACGTTTCAGGGAGGAATTTTATTGTTTTATTTGACGCAAAAAGAAAAGATTCAAACGACCACAGTGGGAGTCGAACCCACGACCTTTTGATCCGAAGTCAAACGCGCTAATCCACTGCGCTATGCGGTCAAATTTCTGCTACCTACGTAGGAATTCTAGCTTTTAAGGAATTTTCGAGATATACTTTTTCTTTTTTGAGAAGTTTTCCCTTTTCCGAGATATAAATATAGGAAAGGAATTTTAGTGAGGGTAATTTAGTAATTTCAGAGGTGTAGGCCGGGGTGGGGGTTGAGGTCTGGTATGACTCGGAAAGCCGCCTAGTCAAACCAAACGAAACAACTACCTCAGGAAAAGTGGGTAGGTGGCTTGGTTTTCCGTGAGTGGATTATGTGGCGGTGACACGTGCTGAGGCCACCGTCCATTCCTGTTATGAAAATACCTGGAGATGAAGAAGATATGTGGGCCCTACAAGCGCATTGGTGAATAATGAGCAATCAGCAGTTGCAGGATACAACGTTGCAGCCACGTGGGAAGGAGCGTGCAGCGTGTGATCCGAGCCGAGTGGACGATGATAAGATGAGAGAGAGAAAGATTAATCCACCTACCTACCAACCAAGGGAAATTGAAAATAGGAAGACAAGAGAAAGTCCACCTACCCCCACGAACCCACCCCACGCACATCGAGCAGATGTGAAAATATGAAATTGTTATGTCCAGAAAACGATTAATACGAATTCGGATTTCCTGTCACAAGAATGGTTTTGATAGGATTTCCCGTCACAAGATTGGTTCTTACATCCACTTCGCACCTTTGTACCGGTGTATGTTTTTTTTTTTTTTCCAAAAAAAAAGTAATGGATTATGATAGTTCACGGTCTGGATGCTTCTAGCCGGAGGGCAATTCACACGTAGGATGTTTAGTTGGTCGGTCGAATTGTAAGAAAATAATACTTGGCGCAGGATGGTTTTTCGGCGTGGACACTTCGATGCTTAAATTAGAATTTGATAGTGTGAGCTGAAAGCTTGTATCCTATTAAGCTAGTGATTAATAAATCACACGTACCTTGTGCCGCTGGGGTTGATGCCCTTATATAGATGAGTTGTCGTAGGTCTCACGAAATACCTCTGAGATCTTTGGTCCGTGCTGTTAGGAGTTCATTTCGCACCAGGAGATGGACTTCGTGCTAGCTAATAAGGCTTATTGAGTCCGTCCAATCCAGGCAAGATAAGGATAAGACCTGCAGACGTGTAGTGTGATCCCGAAGATGTCAGAGACAGCTGGCTTTCTTCTAGAATTTGGCTACGTGTCACCTCAACAGGTCGAGTCATCACGAGCTGCTCGGATCCCAGTCTTGGCCGAGGTGCCCGAGGACCAAGGTACCTGAGGTGACCTAGCTCGCTGAGGTAGCAGGAAATGCCAAGTCAATGCCCAAACAGCAGGTTGCGTGTCCGTGCATGAATAGGTCGGGCCAAATCATCCCTCGTCAATTGCCTCCCCATTCCCCATGCTAGGGGTCCCGACCCAGTACAGGGAGTTCATGACAAGTTTAGGTAGATTTGGTCTGGTCTTCATCCTGGCCAAGATCTAGTCTAGAGGTTAGATCTCATTGACCTAATTGGCTCAACCATAAAATTAGATCGCGTATCGGGGACGCGCAGACGTCAAACGAATTGAAAACTCAGCAAATGTCAAAACACACGCTTAACCAATTTCAACCTCAAAAGTCGTGAGATCAGCTTTTATGGGAGCCATTAGATCAAATTGATCTGAACCGTCTGTGATTGACTACAACGGCTATAAATAGGGGCCTTGGGGTCCCATTCATTTTGTCTCATTTCGAGTTTTCACGTTTCGGAGGTTGCGCGCTAGCTTCCAAGTCAGTCGTCTTGTCTTCTCTCTCTAAGGTCGTCATTTTTTCTCCGTTCTTAGGTAAGTCACCTTTCCTCCCCTTAGTTTCTTCTTGTTCTTTTCAGCATGTCTAGTAGTATTAGTAGTCTTTTTAATGAGAGTGGGGAGTCTGGTCGGGCCAAGGAGGGCACCTCGACTCAAGATTTAGAGTCTGGCCCAGTTGAGATGGTCACTTTGGCCTAGAACTCAGACTCAAGATTTAAGAACGGAAGGCTTCTGGCGGGAAAGCGTCATCTTTGTGTCGTGCCCGTAAGCCCTGAGGTCCAGACATCTGCGGTCCTTTTACACTTGCACCTAAGAAGATCAATGCACTAGCTGCCCGGTACAAATTCCCTGATCATTATGGCTATAACCTACATTTGGGAAGAGTTTCCTTGGGAACATGATCATGAAGAGATTACTGTCTTTGAGGAGCAGTTGATTGTTGGGCTCCACTTTCCTCTTTACCCTTTTATTGTTGAAGTCCTTAAATTCTTTGATGCCACCATTGACCAGCTTCACCTGAACTCGGTTCGTACCATGGTCAGCACCATATCTTTGTTCCATGATTTCGACCTCCCCTTAGATATCGGAACATTTAGCTCGCTCTATTCCATCAAGAAAAATCCTGTCGGTCCCAAAGGGGGTGGGCAAATATAGCTACAACATAGCTTATCGACCTGGATATAAGCTTCTCCATGAGTATCTCTCAAGGTAGTGACTTGGAAGAGTAGGTATTTTATTGTTATTGTTGATGGGGGTTGGCCTTTCCCAACTCACTAGAGAAAAGACATCAGTGACCCCGGGGATCGGTTGAGTAGGAAGATGAAGAAGAAGATGTGATTTATAGTGGAGTTCGGCCTGATATTGGGAGACTACTTGGCCGAGGATAAACTTGTTAAGGCCAAGCTGAATCCTCTGGGTAGATCGTCTCTTTGGGCATACGCATACGTACTTCATTTCAAGCTTATTTTACTTTGTTCCAGTTCGGCTAATATTCTATTCATCTTCCACAGACATCGTGACTGACATTCTGATAACCATAACCAGACTCTTTACCGACAATTGTCTAAAACCTCATTTATCGTTAATTTTTTCTCATACTCCATTCACATGTGACTCATATACTTTTTAAAATTTTTAAAATACCCTTTTATTGTTCTACTTCATCTCAGTCGGTCTTAGTCTCTAATTTCGTCTCCGATTTCGTCTCTCATACTGTATTCATGTATCTATAAAACCTCATTTATCTATATCTCCCTCTCCGACTCCAGCTACATCTTCCCATATCCGTTTTAGTAAACCACCCATTAATAGCAAATGCCAATTAAAACGCCCATTAATAACAAAGAATGATCATGCCAGACAACTTGATTTTTCCATATAGTACTATTAATAATAGAAGACATATACTACAACTCTATGGTAATGTGTTGCACCCAAATGCCCGCCTCCGATTCCATTCCATGATAGGGGCTTCCTCCATGATTTCTCATTTTTAATAACAGATGTACACAATAGGAAAGTTAATGTTATTCATTAAAATGAATATCAATAAATCATAACAAATTGACAATAATGAAAAATCTACCTCTCGGTGGGGGAAATTCCAGGGAAACAAAGCAATATTATAATTGGCCCTTCTCCCATCGATTAAAGGGTTCGGTTCAAGACGAGCCCTCCTTGCCTACTCTGGATCAAGACAACCCCTTGGGGCAGAGGATGAGCCAAGTGCCGGGGCTACAGCACAACAAGAATCCGAATTAGGGGAGGGGACAAATGATGTTATCATGGATGCAAAGGCTACAGGGGAATCAAAAGATGTACATGGTAAAAGAGAGTCATTATTATCCACCCTTTTCGCTCTCTACCCAGCTGGTCTTTGTCGCTTGTAGGGGTGTCAATTGGATTGGATTTGGTCCAATTCGATTCAGTCCAATGTGAGTCCATTATAAATGGATCAGGTCCAATTCAATCCAGTGAATGTTTTGGATTAATTTGGACCGGTCTAATTCAATGTCTGGACCGTCCAATTCGCTCAAATTCATTTTGATTTAGATTGGTTTCAATCCAAACCCAGTCCATTGATACATATATTCTTATCTTATATCAATGGACTAGATATTGGCTTAATCCAACCCAATCCAATATAAATTTGTTACAAACAGACCAGGTTCATTCCAATTTAATAAATATTTTGGACTGGATTGGTCCAATATGTCTTGATGGTCCGTCCAAATTGATTTTGGACTGGATGGGGTCCAATCCAAAACCGGTCCATTGACACACCTGGTCGCTTGCAAACAAAATTCATCCCATCCACAGCCTTTTATGCTTGAATCTAATTGCAAAAACTTAAATTCACAATGAACAATGGAGAATTCTCTGTCTTGCGGTGATGGTTAGGACAAGGATTGAAAGAAGAAAGTAGTTTCTCTTCATCCTTTCAATGGACCCAGACTATTTTATAGTTCTTGAAAATTTTCATCAATTAGGTTTTATTTTGAAATTTTGAAGAATAGTGGAGAATAAATTCCACATTTTATTTTGTCCCATTAGTGCTGAACGACAATGACAATTGTCAAAAAACTTAAAGGTACTTTAAGACAATATGTAAACAGTAAAGGTAGAATTAGTCAATTTCCTAAACCATGGGGATATTTTAAGAAATTTACTCTTTTAATAGCCCAATAGACCAATAAACAGTCTTGGTCTTTAAAGACCAGCTCCAAAAAGCTCAATTGGTCTATCGGGTTGTTGAAAAAGACTTGCCAAACAGCATCTACAATGTCGTTTCGAGATTCATACAAGCAAGAGGACAATTTTTCAAAATGACAAAATGCAAACGACAAAACACTATTATCTCTTTTTCACCCACTTAGCTTAAAACCCTAATCAAACAAAACCCTCACCGCAAGAAAGAAGAATAAACTTAAATAAGGGTTTGCATAAATTCGTAAGAGAAAGGGCAAATTGGTCCCATAAAATAAAAAAAGGGTAGTTTGAAAACTTAAAAACATTCACAAGCATGTAACAATCACTTGAGTACCTTTTCTAAAGTTTTTCTAAATAAGGGGCACCCAAAATTTTGGGTAGATGGGATT